AATTTTGATATGTATTTTTTATGAATTCGTTTTGTGTAAACCTTTTTATGCAGGGGAAAACTTTTGTATATACGTTCTTGTCTGTATGTATATAATATGTATATGTATACATGTATGAACTGGTGTATATAAGTATATGAGTATGTTTGCATGAATGTCTGTATATATGTGTATGTATATTTGCATTTGTATATTTGCGAGTTATGAAATGCAAAAATCTAAATGGTTTGCAACAGATTAGAATCGTTCTTCTTTATTCATTGAAAGGAATTCAGTTCCATGATTTATTTAAAAAAATAGTTAATAAGGACTTCTGCAGCCTAATAAGACAAAATATGCTTCCCGGAAAGCACACCAGCACTAAAGTATAAAATCAATCAGAATAGGCTTTCTCCAGTTATCACTCGGATCCCAAAAAGAATAAAAAGGTCACAGTAGCCTGGCTGAACAATCTGCCAAAAACAGACACAAAAACAGACTTGGGACCCAAGTATTGCCATGAGGTTTTTCTCTGGTGTGAATTGTCGGAGAACAAATTCCCAGGATTCCAGGTTTCTCAACGTTTGAACCCAAGCAGCAGAGGGTTTTGGAACTTAATAGAATCATTCCGGTATGCTGGAAATGGTTTCTAAAACTTTGGTGATGGGACTACTGCATATAACAAATGTTCCAAGAATCTGACTCTAGTTACTGTATACTTGCATTAGAAATTTGAAGCCGATCGTTTTCCGATTGAAGCCGATTGTTTTCCATCTTTCAGGGGTACCTGAAGTATGGAAAACAAAGAAATACTTCCAGATCGTCAGACGAATCACGTACAGACAGTTAAAGACCAAAATTAAGTAGATGAAAGTAACGAAGCTCAAAACTTGAAGCTTTCATACCTGTATAAAAATAAATGCCTTAATACAATCTTTTCACACACACACACACACACACACACACACACACACACACTAGTAGCGACCAGTGAAGAGGCGGGGCCAGGAGCTTGGACTCGACCCCTGAAACCTCAACTAGGTGAGTACACACACACACACACAGGCAGGCAGGAATTGTACAGAAAGTACTACAATGGATCAAAAAATACCTCAAAGGAAGGAAACAATGAGTGTTGGTAGGTGATGAAGTGTCAGAGTGGGTGCATGTGTCGAGTGGGGTTCCACAAGTGTGAGTTCTAGGTCCAGTATATGAGAATGGTATGACGGAGGGAATAGATTCAGAGGTGTCCCTGTTCGCTGATGATATAAAACTAATGAGAATACAAGCGCCCCCGCGGCCCGGTCTGTGACCAGGCCTCCTTAGGTCAGTGTCCCAGGATGCGACCCACACCGGTCGACTAACACCCAGGTACCCATTTTACTGATGGGGAACATAGACAACAGGTGGAAAGAAACACGTCCAATGTTTCTACTCTGGCTGGGAATCGAACCCAGGCCCTCACCGTGTGAAGCGAGAGCGTTAACCACCAGGCCACCAGGGGTTTAACCCTACCAAGTGCAGAGTCACGTAGCTTGGATAAGGACAAAGAAGACCGCAGACGGGGTACAGGTTAGGGGGTCAAAGGCTTCAAACCTCACTTAAGGAAAAGGGACTTGGGATGAGCATTATACCGAGCACGTCCCCTGAGGCACACATCAGCCAAATAACAGCTGCCTAGCAAACCTGAGAATAGCCTTTCGACATCTCAGTAAGGAGTCAATCACGGCACTGTACACCGTGCACGTCAGACCCATATTGAAGTATGCAGCACCAGTATGGAATCCACTCCTGGTCAAACACATCAAGAAATTGGAGATAATGCAAAAGTTTCCAACAAGACTAATCCCGCCCCTCAAGAAAGATTCCTTGACGCTGGTGAGGGGCTCTTGATCAAGGGAACTGGATATGTGCTACAGTTCCCTGAATTGAGCGTGAATGCCTTCCATTACCCCCCCCCCCACATTCGCTGTATAATTCTACGGGTTTAGCACTTCCCCCCTTGAGTATAATAACATATGGAGAGGTTAAGGGAACTCAACCTGATGAAATTAGTGGATAAGAAGGATAGTGGAGATATGACAACAACAAATAAAATGCTGAGAGGAATTGACAAGGTGGACAGGGCTAGAACGTTTCAGAAATGGGACACAGGAACAAGGGGACACAACTGGAAGTTGAAAACTCACATAAGTCATTGTGACGTTAAGTCAATATTTCTTCAGCCTTAGACTTGTCAGGAAGTGGAACAATCTGTAGAGAGAAGTAGTGGAGGCAGGATCCATACATAGCTTTAACATGAGGTATGATAAAGTTCTTGGAGTGGGCGGGAAGTGACGTAGTAGCGACTAACGAAGAAGCGGGGCCAGGATCTGTGACTCAGCCCCTTCAACCACATACAGGCGAGTACATATAGGTGAGCACAGGAGCTAAGATTCGACCTCTGCAGCCACAAATTGGTGAGTATATACACACACACATTCAGTCGACCTCCTCTCTAACCAGTTTTGAAAATGTCTACCCCCTTAAAAATTCAAAATTACTCTTTAATGACTATTTCTGACATATAGGTGAGTAAAAACAGGAAGAGCGTCTGTCTGGCGGTCAGTAGACGGAGGATCAAGTCTCCACCATGTTTTGCCGTGAATGATCCATTTGGGTTTAGCGCTTAGCATTAATTTTAAAAAAGTTACCATTTCTGTACTTGAATAACAATTTAATGGCTTTCTGTGACCGTCATCAAGAGAATGAGTATGCTGCTTCTGGCGGCTTCATGGAACATGCCACTCTTGAGCATCAGAATATTATGATCATTAGTAAACAACAGGAATCATCTCCTGTGGAAGACAGACTCGAAAAAAAATTCTTGTATATTTCAACGTCTACCTGAGGTTCTCATCAGCCGAATACAAAGTTAAAAAAGAGAGTATTTTATAAAGTGGGAGGTCAATAAACATCAGTGGTTGGTGGTCCGTGTAGGAGGGATGTAGCATAGCTGGAATTTCATAGGTCAGTGTGGCACGGAGCCTCTTGGGGACCTGTGTCAGTTCCATGGTGCAGGAATTTCTAATTAAGCCCGGAGCTGAGATGTACCTTAATGCAGACTTAATTATCATATCATGTTTCAACATCTGAAATCTTGAAGTTGAGTTTGGTTGATTAGTGCAACTTGTAGTGTTTTCCTTTGTGTTAGAAGAGTGCGGAACTTTCTTGAGAAAATCAGAGTGGTGGTTTGTATTCTGTTACCCTACTGTCTCAATTACTGCTCTGTCCCGTGTGAACTAACACTTGCTACAGTTTTTGTGGTGACAGGATTCTTGCAGTTATTAGAGAACCTTCCACAGGATTCTTGTAGTTATTAGAGAACCTTTCACAGGATTTTTGCAGTTACTAGAGAACCTTCCACAGGATTCTTGCAGTTATTAGAGAACTTTCTGCTAATTTTATTCTGAGAAGTGAAGTGATACATTGGATTTTTCTAGATACTGCGATCCCCAGATGAAATGGAATTACTAGCTTAGTTGGTCGAAGTCTTAACTTGTTCATCTGTGTCAACCTTCAGGTATTTCTTATTATATTTACTGAGCTCCAGTTCGATAAACTAATGTTGGTATCCCAACTTAAAGAACTGTTCCCAGGTGGTTTCTTTCTCTTAGTCAAATAATAATAATAAATCTTTATTTATTACAAGTACATATACAAGGTATACAGGCCTAGCTGACATCATTGACATACTACTATATAGAAAGCCTCTTACGCAGAACGTTTCGGGCAAATTAGGTCAGTTTTGTCCCGGGATGCGACCCACACCAGTCGACTAGCACCCTGGTACCCATTTTCCTGATGGTTGAACATGGACAACCGGTGTAAGGAAACACGTCCAATGTTTCCACCCCTTAGCCGGGAATCGAACCCGAACCCTAGACGTGTGAAGCGAGAGCTTTTGCCACCAGGCCACGGGGCACCGTGGGGCTGCAGGAGGGGCTGCATATTTTCACCGCTCTTAAGAGAATAAAAACAATTTTTCTTAATTTTAGACGAGAGGTGACTAAAGAAATGTATATAATGTGTCGTGTGTGTGTGTGTGTGTGTGTGTGTGTGTGTGTGTGTGTGTGTGTGTGTGTGTGTGTGTGTGCGTGTGTGTGTGTGTGTGTGTGTTGGTTTCCTATGGACGGTGAGAAGGCATCTCAGTTTTTAGGAATATCTGTAAGAAAGGTATTTCACTTACCTGCTCTTACTCAATTTTTAAATTTATTTGAGGGGGACCAAATGATTTAGTATTAAAAAAAATACACTATTTCTTGTCCCCTGTTGTAAATTCGTCATATTTGAAGTTATAGCAAATTGTATTTCAAGGTCTGACCTCGAATGATTGTTTCCCGAGAAGCTCCCGGTACAAGTTTGACAACACTGGGGTCACCCCCAGTGTCTCTGTCCTACTGTATCCAGTTTTCTGTCAGAGTTTTCATCAGTTAATTTTAATAAAAAAAAGTGAAAGAAATTCTCATAAAAATCTGAAAAATCGACCTTTTTTTTACCAAATTTTTACTAATTTTAACAAAAATGTGTGGTAGAATGATGTATTATTACTTTTTTTATTTATAAAAAGTACTAAATTTTCAAATAATTTAAAAGTGTTGCAAGGTTTCACTAACATGTTCTTGCATCACTAACATGTTGTATCACTAACATGTATCACTAACATGTTCTTGTATCCAGCAGCAACAAGAAGCGTTGAAACCTAAGCCAGCTACGATTTTTTCTCATTTCTGTTTTTCTTGGGTTTTGGGTGAATCCGGGCCTCAGTAGCAGCTGTGACTACATTATGAATCACATGTACAGCGGCCTTTAATAAATATTTGCAATTAAAATCAATTACTAGACGACATTACTGGCGCTGTAAGGCTTCCCTGATCTAGCTTTTTCCCCTGAAAAAGCATGTTGTGAACCAGTACATACAGATTATTGGGATTAGAAAAAACGAATGAGGGTCAGTTGTGAGAGTCATCCGCAAAGCTTACCTGAAGTGTCTTCCTCGAGGGACTCTGGGTGTGAACGCTGGCAAGTTACCCTCTTGACTGACAGTGACATTGACAGATTGCTCTTATATAGCCCAGCTGTCTCTAATTAAATGAGTGAAACTGTTTGGTGATCGCATCGGGAGTGTGGATCATGAAAAGAACTTCATCAGTACTACTTGAAAAAGTATTTTGAATATAAATGGTTTTTATTCATGGACCAGGCAATAAAATACATTATTTTGTTCGTAAAGTGACCTTTTACGACGGTATAAATCTGTAAAACCTTCTCCCCTAGAAAAGGGTCCCTTGATGTGACGACGGAGTTTTTTTATTCGAGGAATCAGAGCTCTTATTTCATTCCTCAGATGAAATCTAACCTCTCCAACCTTTACTCTGCCCATTTGGCCTCATTAGTGTGAAAATTTTCCCCTTTGTGAAATAGGACTATAAGCCCTTTTCTAATGTACCTAGAGTGGGGGTCTTGTTACTAGACACCATGGATGATGAACCATCTTAGGGCATGTAAAGTGACTCTCCGTTGAGACATCCGGAAGCCATCTGAGAGTGTCTCTGATGTCAGAAGTGTTACCAAACATTCCCCGTGGTTCCAGGAATGGCAGCTGAATACAACTCATAATTTTCAATCCAGTTCACCATAGCCATTATTAGCTGTACCGTTAGATTGTACAATTAGAGATCTTAAGTAATCAGGTGTTTGTTGCTATGCTTAGGCTCCGGAGATGCAACCCTGAAGATGCGTACCATATAAGCTTAAAGGTAATTACCAGCGAACAACAGCACTGCGTGTCGCAGGTGAAGTGACCATGGTTCCAGGTGGATATGTGGTTCTCAGAGCTGCCCCCATTTTTTTTTACCATAGGATAAACGAGAAAATGACTCATTCTTCTGAATCCCAAATGGCTACGACTCCCTTTACATACACCGACATGAACATGGATACTCCTCACAATCCAGATTCGTTTTCAGGCTAGTCAGCTAGTCAGACGACAGAATGGCCTACGGCCATCTTCCAAAATATCTATACCAAAAACTTGTGATCCTGTATGGCAACTAACATAACTAACTCTTAAGGCAACCCACCACTTGGAAACCTTTTCCACTTGACCTCCATGAACCAAGACATCTCTTTCCACACATTAAACAAGGAGAGATGTGTATCATTGAAATGAATACTGCCATCCTGGCTGAGAAGCTGTTGCACCTACAAGCTACTAGCAGTATTGCAGTTAGGACACACGTACACTCTTTCTCATCTCAAGGTACGAGGTCATTGTTATCCCAGACACATTCCAAAGAGTGCGAAGAATATTCCCCTGACATCCAAGTACATCTTGAACTCTCACATCTTCCAATCGTCCTGAAGAAGATACCCAAGTAACAAAGCTAAATTAGCGTTCCATTGCCATGAACTTTCCTACCTCATATAACACAGCAGATCATTTGGCAGTGTGAGAAGTGAATACTACAACAATGCTGAGAGTGGTGAGCCTATGGCAGCCTAGAAAAGTTTTGTGGATCACAATAATTCTCGCTATGTGGAGTAGTAGTTCATAACAATCGTCTTGCTCTTCATCTTGCATTAGTTGCACTGAAACACGCTCCTCATATTTTCGTTGATACCAAGTTTACCCATGAGAAAGTGAGATACAATAGAGAAACAAGGCTTATCATACAATCAAGCTGTGACTCATGTAGGCAGCCGAAGAAAGATACCTTGTAACTCCAGAGACACTCGACCCTCCAACACCGAGTGACGCCCCACTTCTCACCACCGATTTACTTACATCTACCTCCTCTGTTACTTTCACTACATCCTGAAATTCGCAGCCATTACTGCAGTATTTACACCACAACCTTTAAGACCTAAAATGCTCCACACTCCGAGAAGTCTGCTGTGTCACCATTCCGAAAAGTATTTCTTCCTTGAACGGACAATCCTTGACTTCGATTTCTGCACCTAGAAGCGTCATAGAAATACATGTACTCTGTCCACTCCTCTCCTGCCCGCAGATGTACCGAGTCAGTCTTACCTTTGAAAACCTGTAAATCCCTTAAGAAACGAGATTCCCCATGGTTCCCTCTTCCCTTTGCTGCCATCAATGTATATACTTTATCTCTTCTTTTCTCCTTCATCTTCCACATCACACTGTCCCCAGCAGGCAGATCCAGAAATAAACCTTATTACAGCTAACAGTAAACAAGGAAAACTCCACAAGGCAATCATCCAAAGCATAATTTCCCGAACATATCACACAAACTACTTTCCCACTCAGGTAGTATTTCTTAATGATATTACGCATTTTCAAATTTTTATTGGTATTTAACTTAATCACAATACAGCCAGTGTCTTCTTAAACAAGTGGTACGCATAAGCTCTATATCTTCCTCCTTCTCTCCTCTTATCTTTATCTGATATGCAAAACTTCTTATCGACCATAGTACATCACTTCTTTTATTAGTTCATTTTAATTTTCCTCATCCGCTCTTGTGTTTGTAGTACTGTGCTCGTGGAGATCAGTTACTCCCTCTCCCTTTCCTTCTCCCTCTCCCTTTCCTCTCCCTCTCCCTCTCCCTCTCCCTCTCCCTCTCCTTCTCTCTCTCCTTCTCCGTATCTTCAACACCAGTGATTCTAAACCCTTTATCCGTACTCTCTCGGTACTAATATATCTATTTGCTCATCTTCCATGTAGTTAGAATTTGATTGATCTTTTGAGAGTGATCACTTCCTTATTTTTCGTTACCTCTCGCTCTTAATCAGCTGACCTCGCTGAGACTTGTGGTGACTTGAAGACTCACATTACAAACTTCACACATGTTAAAAGAACCTTCTAGTTGTCTTATAGACAAGTTATTGCATCGCTTCGTCACCGTAACTGTCTATCTGCAGCTACGCTCTTCCCCTCTTCCCAGACCTTAGATAATTATTACGAGAAATGTGTCCGCTGGTGGTCTCCCGACTGTATTCACTCAGCTCGTTGATAATGTGCTGTGGACACCAGTACAGGACGCTTTCTAGTTTATAAACGAACATGACGTCGATTTATACAGATTGCCAAACAAACTTGTTTGGGTGCTTATGTATTCACCATAGACAATAAAAAGGCACAATGGAACACACTGACTCCCTTCCCTTCGCGCTTCTGTGAGACTAGTTAATGATCCCAGTCGGACCGAAACGTCGTCATAAGTTCCAGTCTCCTATGTCCGGGTTATCTGTCTAGTCACTGTAAATGCCACTACCTCTTTAACCAGAGTCTGACCTACCTCTGCCACCGCTCTTACTAATACTGACAAAAAAGTATGAGATTCTTTCGAGTGTTCATAAGTTCCTTCGGGTTTCCCAAGGACTACACGGGGGAGTGTCCCACTGGACTGCACATCTCATACTGAAGATGAGTACATCATCCAACAAATCAGATTTACCTTTCTTGCCCGAAATTACATATACCTGCAACGAACTCCATTCTTCTCTTCCTCTAACACTTTTATTCACATTCTCATTCTACAGCCCCAAGTCCCCATGCACACACACACACAAACACACATACACACAAACCAATGGGATTCTGAGGCGCTGGAGGGAGGAGACAGAGGAGAAGCAAGGGACTACATAATAGGAACACTTCACATAGGGGGTCCCAAGGTGGTGATTGCAGTGATGTATAACCTACCACAAATTAGCAGGAGCCCAAGATAAGAATATAATAAGAGTAACAGAGAGATGGTTGACACACTGGCTGCAGTGGCCGGAATGGCCCATGTGAACAGGGCAAAGCTAATAGTTGTGGGTAACTTCAGTCACAAAGAAATCTACTAGGAAGGCCTGGAGAAACATGGGAGCCCAGAAACGTGGAGGGCCAAGATGCTGGAGGTGGTACTGGAAAACTTCCTACATCAACACATTAGGGACACTACCAGAGAGAGGGGAGAGGATGATCCAGCAAGACTGGACCTAGTATTCACCTAGAGAAGTGCAGATACTGAGGACATCACATATGAAAGGTCCCTCCGAGCTAGTGATCATGTGGTTCTAAGCTTCGAATACATAGTAGAGTTACAAGTGAAGAGGGAAGCAGGAAGAGCAGGACGAATGATGCCAGACTATAAAAGAGGGGACTACACAGGCATGAGGAATTTACTGCATGAGGTTCAGTGGGACAGAGAACTGGCAGGGAAATCAGTAAATGGGATGGTGGAGTATGTGACAACACTATACAAGGAAGTGGAGGAGAGATTTGTACCCAAGGGCAACAGAAATAATGAGAAGGCCAGGACGAGCCCTTGGTTCACTCAAAGGTGTAGAGAGGCTAAAACAAAGTGTGGTAGAGAATGGAAGAAGTATAGAAGGCAAAGGACCCAGGAGAGTAGTCGAAGAGCAAGAAATAAATGTGCACAGGAAAGGAGGGAGGCCCATCGACAATACGAAAATGACTTAGCAACGAAAGCCAAGTCTGACCCGAAGCTGTTGTACAGTCACATCAGAAAGAAACAACAATCAAATACCAGGTAATCAGGCTGAGGAAGGAAGGACAGGAGTTTACAAGAAACGACCTTGATGTGAGGAGCTCAACATGAGATTCAAAGAAGTATTCACAGTGGAGAGAGAAAGGACTCCAGAAGGACGTAGAGGTGGGGTACACCAAATGTTGGACACGATACATACAACCAAGGAGGAGGTGAAGAGGCTGCTAAGCAAACTAGATATCTCAAAGGTGATGGGGCTGGATAACATCTCTTAGTGGGTCCTGAGAGAAGGAACAGAGGCGTTCTGTGTACCACTAGCAACAATCTTTAAAGCATCTATCAAAACAGGGCGACTACCGGAGGTATGTAACACAACAAATGTAGTCCCAATTTTTAAAAAAAGGAGACAGACACACAACATTAAACTACAGACCAGTGTCACTGACATGTATGCAAAGTCATGGAGAAGATTATCAGGAGAAGAGTGGTGGAGCACCTAGAAAGGAATAAGCTTATAAAAGACAACCAGCACGGATTCAGAGACGGGAAATCCTGTGTCA